CACCCCAACCCGGGCTGGCCCCCCCCCCCAGCCACCCCTTCTGGCCACCCCAATCCTGCCTGAGCTCCTCCTGGTGATCCCAAACCTGGCTGAGACCCCCTGGCCACCCCAAACCTGCCTGAGCTCCTCCTGGTGACCCCAAACCTTCCTGAGCCCCTCCTGGTGACCCCAGCCCTGGCTGAGACCCCCTGGCCACCCCCCCTGCCCCCAGCCATGCCCTGCTGACCGGGACAGCGCTGTCCTTGCGCAGCCGCACCACGTCCCCCACGCGCAGGTCGCACCACCTCTGCCACTGGAAGCTGCAGGAGGAACGGGAGGGAAGTGGCTGGAGCAGAGCAGCAGGGATGGGGGGTCGTGGCTGCTTCTGTCCTCTGAGCCAGGCTGGGTCTGTCCCAGCTCCTTGCAGGGCTGGGGGCTGCAGGGGTTTTGTTCCTCTGCCCCCCCCCAGCACCTTCTGCACCACCAAGGGATGGAAGCACCAAGGACCCAGCAATCGTGTCCGTGTCCCCCAGACCCACAGGTGGCAGGGACATCCAGCCCCCTGGCCACACCTGGGTCCTTCTCTGGGCCAGTGTTAAGCAAGAGCACAACCCTGTGGGTTAGATGTGAAGAACTGGAGGAACACAGAACCATGGAGTTGTTTTGGTTGGGAAAGACCTTCAAGATCATCAAGTCCAACTGTTAACCCAGCCCTGCCAAGGCCACCCCTGCCCCGTGTCCCTCAGCACCACATCTACAGGCTTTGAAACCCCTCCAGGGATGAGGACTCGCCCCCTGCCCTGGGCAGCCTGGGCCAGGGCCTGACAGCCCTTTCCATGGAGAAATTGTTCCCAAGATCCAATCTGAACCTCCCCTGGCACAACCTGAGGCCATTTCCTCTTGTCCCATCCCTTGTTCCTGGGGAGCAGAGCCCGACCCCCCTGGCTCCAACCTCCTCTCAGCAGCTGCAGAGCCAGCAGGTCTCCCCTCAGCTCCTTGTCTCCAGGCTGAACCCCCAGCTCCCTCAGCTGCTCCTGCTCACACTTGTGCTCCAGCCCCTTCCCCAGCCCCACTGCCCTTCCCTGGACACGCTCCAGCCCCTCAAGGTCCTTCTGGTACTTCTGTGCCAGGAAACCCCTTCCCAGATTGTCACAACAAAATTAGGTCTTTTTTAGACCAGTTGCCTGTGGTTCCTACGAGCTGGACCTGCAGCAGAGCTGGGGAGGTGATGAGTGTTTGCAGGGCCAGGAATGTTCATAGAATCACAGAAGCCCAGGCTGGTTTGCGTTGGAAGGGACCTTCAAGATCATCCAGTCCCACCCCCTGCATGGGCAGGGACACCTCCCACCAGCCCAGGTTGCTCCAAGCCCCATCCAACCTGCCCTTCAACACTGCCAGGGATGGGGCAGCCACAGCTTCCCTGGGCAACCTGGGCCAGGCTCTCACCACCCTCACACTCCACAATTCCCTCCTCATGTCTCACCTCAATCTCCCCTCTTTAACCCTCAGACCATTGCCCCTTGTCCTCTCACTCCACCCCTGTGTAAAAAGCCCCACCCCAGCTTTCTTGTAGACCCCTTCAGGTACTGGGAAGTCCCACCAAACCCCTTCTCAGGTGCTCTGCTCAAGGGTGCTCAGCACTTCAGGTGACCCATCCTTCCACACAGGCCTGGGAAACACAGGTAGGACTTCCCAGAGCTCCTCACCTCTTCCCAGACAGGATTTCACATGGTCTGTTGTTGATGTTTCGGTCACTTTGGTGACGGCCCTGCCCAGAGGAGAGGGAAGAAAAGAGGCCAAAAGACAAGGATGGACCATGCCAGGCTTCCTTGTCCCATGCAAACCACCCTCTTAGATGCCACCATTTCCCTCCTCAGCCCCATGGCAGGATGAAGCCACCAGGTGGTTTCCAAAACTCTCCCGAGGTCTTTCTAGGGACCAACCTGGGGATGTAGCCACTGGTGAAGGTGCTGGAGGTGACAGGGATTGGGGTCTAGACCCCAAGGGAAGGAGCTGCCCACTCACATCCTGCCCAAGGGAAGATCTAAAGTGCTTTGGATGTAGGAGTTGATGGTACCTGAGGAACGATGGGTGACACAGCAACACCCAAACTTCTCAGTCTCAAACCTGGTTGAGACCCTCCTGGCCACCCCTTCTGGCCACCCCAAAACTGTCTGAGCTCCTTCTGACCCTCCCAAACCTGACTGAGCTCCTCCTGCTGACCCCAAACCTGGCTGAGCCCCTCCTGACCCCCCCAAACCTGACTGAGCTCCTCCTGGTGACTCCAAACCTGGCTGAGCCCTCCTGATCCCCCACCCCAACCTACCTGAGCTCCTCCTGGCTCCTCCAAACCTGCCTGAGCTCCTCCTGGTGACCCCAAACATGGCTGAGACCCCCCTGGCCGCCCCTTCTGACTGCACAGCAAAAGGGCTCTTCCTGGTGACCATCCCCACCCCCCAAGGACCCCCCAAAACCCCCAGCCCTTTCACCCCACCCCAGACTCACAATGTCATCAATCAGGTCTCGCAGACCCCGGATGGTGAGGAGGCAGCTCAGGGGCAGGAGCAGAGTGTACCAGGGCACAGTGGAGATCTCAGGGAAGGTCTGGAGAAGGAGAAGTTTTTTACACCACTGGCCCAACTTTCATCCCACCTTGGGATGATTTAAGGGACTAACTCACACAGGATCAATCACAGCATGATGGGGGTTGGAAGGAGCCTCCGGAGATCACCCAGTCCAACCCCTCTGCTCAGCAGATCCCACAGGAACACATCCAGGTGGGTCTGGAATGTCTCCAGGGATGGAGACTCCACAGCCTCCCTGGGCAGCCTGTCCCAGGGCTCTGGCACCACCACAGTAAAGAACCTCTTCAGATGGAACTTCCCATGTTCCAGTTTGTCCCCATTGCCCCTTGTCCTGGTTCTGGGCTCCAACTCCCCCTCTGTCCCAGCTCCCCATCCCCATGGCAGGAACCAGTCTAGAACAAATCAACCCACTATCTCTGTCTACACAGAACAGTCTGGTTGAGTTTCCACCTCTTTTTAAATGGGACCCATGAGGTGCACGTGGGACACACTCCCCCTCTGTCCCAGCTCCCCATCCCCATCCCCATGGCAGGAGCCAGTCTAGGACAAATCAACCCATTATCTCTGTCTACATAGAACAGTCTGGTTGAATTTCCACCTCTTTGTAAATGGGACCCATGAGGTGCACGTGGGACATTGAGTCTGGAGAGCAGGGTTTCTGCTCAGGTGTGGCCTCCATGAGCTCAGCTGAGATCCAAAACCACCCAGCTCAGAGTAACCAAACTTCACAGGGCTGAAACCCCTCAAGACCTTCATGGAAGAGAAGAAACAACCCCAAGTCAGAGGGGATCTGAAGGGGTCATGCCCAGTGGAAGGGACTCCCAGAGCTTATCCATGATAAGGCACCTCCTTGTCCCACTGTTTGAAAGACCTTGAGGGACCCAGGGCCAGCAAGGCTGGCTATAGGCTCTGGAGAGGTGTGTGCCCTTCTTGGTCTGGCCAAAAGTTAGCTAGGAAGTGACTTCTGTGGCAAAATTCAAGGCTGGTTTAAAACAGGAAGGATTGTCTGCATGGGCACCCCCAAAACTTGTCCTGCACAGGGGAGCAGGGCTGGGACCAGGCAGGCTGCTGCTTCTCCTGCTGCTTGTTCATGTGAAAAATGAAGATCTCTTTCTCATCAGTGTTCCAAAACCCATCCAGTTGGGAGAAACTGGGGCTAGCAAAACCTGATTTCTCCACCCCTTTTTGCCTGGCTGCTGTAGAGCATCAAACCTCGTGGCCTTGGAAGGAGCAGAGAAGCTCTGTACCAGCCCCTGGCTGCCAGGGCTCCAGGGCTTTCACATCTGCCTCCTCCAGATCATCCTGTGCTGCCTTTTGTGGTTTTCTCACCCAAATGAACGAGTTTCACAGCATCCTGTGATGGGTTAGAACCATAGAATGATGGGATAGTGAAGGTTGGAAGGGACCTTCAAGATCATCAGGTTCCAACCCCCTGCATGGGCAGGGACACCTCCCACCAGCCCAGGCTGCTCCAAGCCCCATCCAACCTGCCCTTCAACACCACCAGGGATGGGGCAGCCACAGCTTCCCTGGGCAACCTGGGCCAGGCTCTCACCACCCTCACACTCCACAATTCCCTCCTCATGTCTCACCTCAATCTCCCTCTGCCACTTTTCATCCATCCCCCCTTGTCCTCTGCCTCCCTGCCCTTGTCCCAAGTCCCTCCCCAGCTTTCCTGGAGCCCCTTCAGGCACTGGAAGCTGCTCTAAGGTCTTCAAGAAGATTCATTAAAGCAAAGGCTGATGTGACTTAAAACTGGAAGGAAATATTTAACTTGTGATCATCTGAAGAGCCCTCAGCTCCCCCCACCAACCAGAAGGTCATTGCTCTTCCAGAAAAACCAACAAACACCTGGATTTGTTCCATCAGAACTTTTTAAAAAGATCTTTCTTATTTTGATGTGACCAGCAGGGTAAGAAGTCTCCTCCACATGGGTCTGCTCCTTTTCTGAGAGCTCCAGAGGGCACCAGGCACCTTCTCCTTCATGAAGGCCTCCCTGTGTGACCCTCTGCCCTACAGGAGATCACTCTGCAGCATCTCTGTCACGTCCCCACAACCACCACCAGCTCAGGAATCAGGGGCTGAGCAAAGAAAGGGTCCAGGGTTGGCCAGACCCAACTCACCCTGTATTTCTTCCTGGTCAGGCAGAAGGCAAATGTCTTCTTGAACTGCTTCTGGTAGTTCCTGTCATTGGCTCTCACTTCCCAGGTGAAAGCTGGAAAAGCAAGTGGACAATCCAGCAGGTCTCCCCAGAACCAGGCTCTGACCATCAGCACCTGCCTTCCAAGGAGCAGGGATGGTGCTACTGGGCTCATGGTGGCAAGATGGGCTTTCCATAGGGATCCTCCACCTGGAGAGGAGCTGGGACAGAGCTGGATCTTTGGGGTGAGCTCAGTCACAGCCTGGACAGAGGGGGCAGGAGGCCAGAAGCTTCCAGAGATGTAGGAGTGCTCCACACACTTCCCCTCTGAGCCTCATGGTGACCATTTGGGCTCAGGTTCTGGTTTCCCAGTGTAATCTGGCCAGGAGGAGGACAGCTCCTCCAGGACCAGTCCCTGTCACCTGCAGGCTGGTCTTACTTCTCCTCATTCCATCTTTACTCTCCCAGTGCAGCTACTGCCAAGCCAGGGACATCCCAGATGTGTCCCCCAACTCCTGCACCCCATCTGAGGGTCCTTGCAGGCCATTTCACCCCAAATCTCCTTCTTCTCCATCTCCCAACCCACGTGCAACTTTCTCATCAACTGTCCAAAAAAAGGAGGAAAAAAACCAACCCCAAACACCCTCCCTGGCACTAACCTGGCAGCTGCTTCTCTCCATGCAGGTGGCCTGAGGTTGGGTCTCCTGCAGCCATGATGGCACCAGCACCAGGATCTAGGAATGAGGACAACCAAGGGTACTTGCCAGGCTGAGCAGTGACAGCAGGATCCCACCAGGATGTTCCAGCACCCCAGAGCTGGGTCCTCCACCTTCCCAGGGCAGGACATTGTGCAGAGGGGACACTCTTGTGGGCACAGCAGTGTCTTCAGAGAACTACAGGCTGGTTTGGGTGGGAAGGGACCACATCACCTTCATCCAACCCCCCTGCATGGGCAGGGACACCTCCCAGCAGCCCAGGCTGCTCCAAGCCCCATCCAACCTGCCCTTCAACACTGCCAGGGATGGGGCAGCCACAGCTTCCCTGGGCAACCTGGGCCAGGCTCTCACCACCCTCACACTCCACAATTCCCTCCTCATGTCTCACCTCAATCTCCCTCTGCCAGTTTTCATCCATCCCCCCTTGTCCTCTCCCTCCCTGCCCTTGTCCCAAGTCCCTCCCCAGCTTTCCTGGAGCCCCTTCAGGCCCTGTCACTACTGTCTCTCCTGGAACCACAAACCCACTTAGACCTTCTCACTGCCCCACACGGACACACAGTTCCCTGCAACCACCTGAGTGTCCCAGCTCAGTGACACCAGGCTGAGTATCTGCCTTTCTCCCCTTGGCACCTGGTGACCTCCTGTATGAGCATCCATGGGCTGTGCCTGGATCTGAACCTCTGCTCTGATCTGGATCTGAATCCACAGCCTCTTCACCCCATCATTTTTCTCCCACCAGTCACAGATCTGCCCTTTCTTGGTGCCTCCAGCTCACCCAGTCCTGGCTCATCCCCCTCAGCCTGGGGGTCTGGAAGAACCCCTGATAGATCCCTGGAGAGATCCCTGTGTAGATCCCTGGATAGATCCCTGGATAGACAGACCCCTGGGTCAATCCCTGGGTCAATCCCTGGGTAGATCCCTGGGTAGATCCCTGGGTAGATCCCTGGGTAGACAGAGCCCTGTCCTCTCCATGTCCTCACAGACACTCAGCATTCCAGACCCACCTCCACCCATTCCCAGCTGCCCAACCACAACTCCAAGACATTTCCCCCCTCTCTCAGGAAGCCCCAGGGAATCACCTGAAGGCACCAGGGAGGAGCTGAACCCCCCCCTGCAGCCCCAGCCAGGGAGCAGCCCCTCCAGCAGGGACAAGATCTCCCTGCAGCTCAGTGACCCTGCAGGGCTGGTGGGGAGGGTGAGTGAAAACTTTGTGTTTCTCACAGGAGAGGAACCAGGGGGGTATCAAGCATTAATGCCCTGATGATTAACTACCCCCCCCCCCCCCCCCAAGTCTGTCCCTGCCAATATTTTTTATCTCACTCCTTTGATCATTTCTCTTTCTTTCCCTCCCCCCAAGTGTCTCCTTCCCTCCCACGTCCCTCCTTGTGCCACCAGACAAATCTGACCTTGGGTTGCCCCATCCTGGTGCTGCCCTGAGACATCCTCAGATGCCACCAGCGGGGTGAGAACTGTCACCTCATCCCAGGCCAAGGAGACTCTGAGGAGCAGCGTGGGCAGCACCTCAGCCCTGAGCTTGTCCCAGAAGGTCCTTTCAGCTCCAAGATGGGTCACCAAACCTGGATCCTGAGTGACACCCTGAACTTCTAGGGGCCCCATCTGCATGGGAGGAAGAGGGGAAGGGCAGGCAGGCAGGCAGGCAGGCAGGCAGGCAGGCAGGCAGGCAGGCAGGCAGGAAGGAAGGAAGGAAGGAAGGAAGGAAGGAAGGAAGGAAGGAAGGAAGGAAGGAAGGAAGGAAGGAAGGAAGGAAGGAAGGAAGGAAGGAAGGAAGGAAGGAAGGAAGGAAGGAAGGAAGGAAGGAAGGAAGGAAGGAAGGAAGGAAGGAAGGAAGGAAGGAAGGAAGGAAGGAAGGAAGGAAGGAAGGAAGGAAGGAAGGAAGGAAGGAAGGAAGGAAGGAAGGAAGGAAGGAAGGAAGGAAGGAAGGAAGGAAGGAAGGAAGGAAGGAAGGAAGGAAGGAAGGAAGGAAGGAAGGAAGGAAGGAAGGAAGGAAGGAAGGAAGGAAGGAAGGAAGGAAGGAAGGAAGGAAGGAAGGAAGGAAGGAAGGAAGGAAGGAAGGAAGGAAGGAAGGAAGGAAGGAAGGAAGGAAGGAAGGAAGGAAGGAAGGAAGGAAGGAAGGAAGGAAGGAAGGAAGGAAGGAAGGAAGGAAGGAAGGAAGGAAGGAAGGAAGGAAGGAAGGAAGGAAGGAAGGAAGGAAGGAAGGAAGGAAGGAAGGAAGGAAGGAAGGAAGGAAGGAAGGAAGGAAGGAAGGAAGGAAGGAAGGAAGGAAGGAAGGAAGGAAGGAAGGAAGGAAGGAAGGAAGGAAGGAAGGAAGGAAGGAAGGAAGGAAGGAAGGAAGGAAGGAAGGAAGGAAGGAAGGAAGGAAGGAAGGAAGGAAGGAAGGAAGGAAGGAAGGAAGGAAGGAAGGAAGGAAGGAAGGAAGGAAGGAAGGAAGGAAGGAAGGAAGGAAGGAAGGAAGGAAGGAAGGAAGGAAGGAAGGAAGGAAGGAAGGAAGGAAGGAAGGAAGGAAGGAAGGAAGGAAGGAAGGAAGGAAGGAAGGAAGGAAGGAAGGAAGGAAGGAAGGAAGGAAGGAAGGAAGGAAGGAAGGAAGGAAGGAAGGAAGGAAGGAAGGAAGGAAGGAAACTCCAGTTCTAAGAAACCTCTCTGCAAATTTCACTGGTTGCCTAAATAATTAGAAATGAACATGGCACTTTGGGCAGGTGGCAGGAGGTGCCAGGACTCCCTGCCAGCAGTGGCCAAGGGCCACTGTGACCACAGTGACACCCTGTGACCACAGCTCCACACCCTGCCCAGACCCACAGGATGTTCCTCCAGCTCAAGGTGTGGGATGAACCAGCCAGTCCAGCCAGCCCAGCAGGGAATGTCCCATCCTGCTGGTCCCCCAGGCTTTCTCACCCCAAAAAATGTCATTTCAGGCTGGCAGGGGTTTGCATGTGAAGCAGAAGCAGGAGCAGCTCCAGGGGGGTTTGGGCTGGAGCAACACTCAGAGGTTGGTGCCCTCAGAGACCTGGCACAGAACCATGGAATCATGTTGGTTGGAAAAGACCCTTAAGATCATCAGGTCCAACCACTAACCCAGCCCTGCCAAGGCCACCCCTGCCCCATGTCCCTCAGCACCACATCTACAGGCTTGGAAACCCCTCCAGGGATGAGGACTCCCCCCCTGCCCTGGGCAGCCTGGGCCAGGGCCTGACAGCCCTTTTAAGGAAGGAATTGTTCCCAAGATCCAACCTCAACCTCCCCTGGGCACCTTGAGGCCATTTCCTCTGGTCCCATCCCTTGTTCCTGGGGAGCAGAGCCCGACCCCCCTGGCTCCAACCTCCTCTCAGCAGCTGCAGAGCCAGCAGGTCTCCCCTCAGCTCCTTCTTGTCTCCAGGCTGACCCCCCAGCTCCCTCAGCTGCTCCTGCTCACACTTGTGCTCCAGCCCCTTCCCCAGCCCCACTGCCCTGTGCTCATGACCAGGGGTTTCCTCTCACTTTCCTGCCCCTCCTGCTCCCACCCAGGGCCCAGCCCGACCCCCCTGCCCATGCCCTTGGGTTCTGCCCAGACCCCCCCTTGTCACTGCTGCTGCTGTTTACAAGCTCACAGCACCCCCGGGGGACCCACCCCCATCACCCCGGGGACTCCCCGGTTGCCACAGCTCCGGTGTCACCCCGGGCCCATCCCTGTCTCTGGGGCCACCAGTGGCTCCCGTGATGAGCAGGTTGGTGCCTCCCCGTGCCCTGGGCACCCCCCCCCTGCCCATTAAAGCCCCTCCGGGCTGTTCCCCAGCCCTCAGGACACACCCGGGCTCTGTCTCTCTCTTCCCTCGCCCTGTTTTTCCCCCTCTTCGGATGCTGCTCCAGGTGAGACGCAG